TATTTAGCAAGTCTGTCTTGGTTCCTCTGGGCCTCCCAGAGTCTCTTCCAAACAACTTTGTTTCTGAAGTCTACAGGGTGGATTGTTGAGAGGTAATGGATGGACAGAGTCTTTGATTCATTCATTCAATGTCTGAGAATATGAAGCTGATCAAGGTCTTTACTCTCGAGAAGCTGACAGTCTAGGGAGGAAGAAATACCAGTAATAACATAGTAGTAGCTGATTTTTGAGTGTTTATGTTACTATGCTAGTAAGATATAGGAGACAATATGTCAAGGCTCTTTGAAGTTGGCAGTCAGAAATAACAGCATTTTCCACACAAATGGGTGATTTAGATATTATGGAAAAGAACCAAAGGCTTGGGAGTCTGATGTTAACTAGAATAATAGCAAACCCAGATACATGTGGGCATGCGTGCTTAGTGGTTCAGTCACGTCCAACTCTTTTCAACCCATTGGACTATAGCCCGGCAGACTCCTCTGTCCATGGGATTTTTCAGCCAAGAATACTGGAGTGGGTTGCAATTTCCTTCTCTGGGGGATCTTCCTGACCCAAGGAGGGAAGCTGCACCTCCTGTGTCTCTTGCATTGTGGGCGGATTCTTTACCTGCTGAGCCACTGGGGAAGTCTCACCCAGACACATGAGAATCTGCTTATTTTAGAAACTGGATGACTTACTTGGGAGAAGACATGGGGTGTGCTTCAGGAGCAGACTGTAGGGGAATAACTTGAAATTTGAAGTTGGCACCCCTTGTAGGGCATGAGGGCCTGCTATGCTCTGCCTGCCAGCCTAAGCATCCTTGGTCCCTAGTTTGAACATGTCAGCTCTGACCACAGAATATCCTGTACAGGATGCTTCTATGAGAAATGCTCAAGGATGAGAGCAAATGAGCGTGCATGGCATTCATTTTTAGTGCAAGAGCACAATCGCTTCTTGAAGCCTCAGTTGCTAAAAAACTTGAGCCTTGTCATCAGAAGCTTCAGATCCCTCACATCCTTCCCACACTCATTTTTTCCTCCAGAACAAGGTGCCTCCTCACACTAACATTAGCCCAGAAGTCTCCCCTCAGCTCTTTTTCCCTAGATGATATCTCTGCTTTGCATTGATTTCTTTTTAAAACTAAAATCTATGGGAAAGGTGAGTAGAATAATCTTGGTCTCTTCCTATGAGCTGTTCATGAGGATATCCTTAACCCTCTCACTTCTCTTGATTCACTGATTACTTCAGAGATGGTGCAACCAATGTGTGTGAAGTCACTTGTGTTATTTGATGAAATATTACTCCTGACTTTGGAATATTTTAGTTCACTTCAGTACACATTTTGCCTATCATTTAAAGACTTTAGAAGTCAGCTTTTAAGAATTTTAACAATATAAGAAGGAATGAAAAAGGGACACGATAAGGATACTTTCTGCAAATTTTCCTACAAAAAGTGAAGGGAATGTAAATAAAACATACTTTTGTTTTGCCCATAATCCTACCCTAACTGCAGAATGATTTCATTTATCTAACTTCTCTTCCAGCTTCTACTTTCATAGTTGTAAACTCTTGTTTTTCTATCCCTTGAGGCTTTTTGTAAACACTTTTCCATTTTGTAATAGACTTGTTTTTAGTGTTTGTGTAATATATTCCATCAAATTGATATTCCATAATTTATTACCACTTCCTTTAGTGCTGGACATTAAGGTTATTTCCATTTTCTCTCTATTATAAATAATAGGAGTAAGAACATCTTTGTATATATAGCCCTGTTCCTACATCTGAATTATGTCCTTAGAATAAATTCCCAGGAGTGGGATTAGTAGGTCAAAGGGTATGAACAGCTTTATGGCTCTTAATATTTATTGCTAAATTGCCCAAAGGGTCATTCTAATTTACAGCACCACCTGCAACACATGAGAATAGCTGTCTCTCCCAGCCCTTCCAGCACCATTTTTTTCGGTCAGTAGTTTCAGGCAAATTTAATAGATATGAAAGGATAACTAGTGACTGTTTTTAATTGTTAATTAAAAAAATTTTTCATCAACATTGAACATTTTTCCTTAAGTATGTTTCTTGTGTTCTATTTTGTATGAATGGCTTGCTTTTCATGATGGAATATTATATTTTTGACACCAGGTGGAACTTAAAATATTTTATCACAAAAACGTCTAATTCACTCAGGACAAAGAGGGTAATAATAAATCATTGCCTAGATTCAACAAACAGCAAGATTTGGCCACATTTGCCTCATCTCCACCTTATTTTCCTTTTATTTTTTCCTTTGTGCCATTATTTTAAAAGGCAAATCCCAGACATTCTGCGTGTTTCACTAGGCATCTCTAAAACGTGCACTTTTTCCTTCTGTAATCATAATTAGTTATTATTACATGTTAGTTTTCACAGCTAACAAAATCAATAATAATTCTTGGTCCCATTTGATACTGGTCTGTAGTAGCATTTTCCAAAACGTCTTTAAAAAGTCTTTTGACAGTACTTTGCTCCGATCGGCATACAGAGAAGTCCACTATACTTGGTTGTTAGGTTTCTCAAGTCCTATGATCTAGAGTGTGCTCTGTTTATTGCCCTCTCACCCCCAACTCAAGTTTACCCCGACCCAGTGACTTACTGCAGGAACTAAGTCAGCTGTCCTATAAATGTTCCCACATTCTGCATTTGACTTTTTGTCTCCTTATTAGCTTGATTAGATTCTGTTTCAAGCACATACGGTCTGGTGATCCCACTTTGGGTGATGGTGAGGCTGGCTGTGCATTCAGGTGGTGACAGCCCTCAACACAGTTATCAGGTTCCTCATCAGCTTTGCCCCTCAGTATTTCACATGTCCATGCAAGTTGCTTGAGTCTGTTAGTAATATTTCCTTGGTATCATGCAATGGTGATTTCCAAATTCTCTCCTTCCTTCTCCATTTATTACCTGGAATTCTTCTATAAAGTGAAACTTCTTTCCTCATAAACTGGGACTTTTTTTTAGTAATCTCAACATGCAGTTTGTGCAAGTAAGGCAGGATAAATGCTTTATCCTTTTCTCTAAATCTTCAAGTTTCTAAGGAGTTGGTTCCACTGTCATTTCCAATTGTTGCTGCTTTTTCTTTTTTAAGAATCATAAAATGCTCAGGGTTTTAAAAAATATATATGTTCCATCTGTTTTACTTAATTACACTCTCTTTGATGTACAAATTATCCTGTCTTTGACCCAAGGGAGAAGAGCCCAGAAAAATAAAGTCTGACACTGCTTCCACTGTTTCCCCATCCATTTCCCATGAAGTGATGGGACCAGATACCATGATCTTAGTTTTCTGAATGTCTCAGGCTTATCTAATATATTTTTTTAAAAGAAAACAAAAATTATGAGTTCATACTGATACTTTCATTTGAAATCTAACAAAACTTTTTTTTACCCTCTTTGATTTCATGTTCATATTTCTTTCTCTTACCCTAAAGACCTTGGTTCCAAATGGTGTTATACAATCTATCAAATAGTTTCAAAATATACTACTAATATTACTATCCAAATTTTCCCAGTGAGAGGTTTTTTGCAATTCTTTTTATCTTTAGAATACATCCACTAAAAATATCCAGTCAAATTACCTTATTCTAACAGTGCCTGAATTACTTCTTTTAACCAATTTGATATACAGTTAAGTTCCTTTATTTCAGTTTGTTTTCAAATTTTAGGATTCACTCCCCCCCCCTTTTTGGTTTTTATTTTTTGAATCTATAAAATATGCTTCTAAGATTGAACCTGTGTAACAAGGTTATTATCAGAAAAGTCTTTCTTCTGTCTCTTCCTTCTAATTTCCTCCCTCTCCCTATTGGTAAATATTAAGACTTGTTTGATCTTTGTAGTGTTTCTTTTTGCAAATATTCATTCATATGTCTTTAGCAGTTTTATACCAAAGCCAGCATACCATACATTCCTTACAATATACTGTATCAGGGTTTTAGAGATCTTCACTTTTTCTTGAAGGTTACAAGGAAATCCATTGTTAAGATGTACCATAGTTTATCAGCCACTTATTGACGTCTGTGTGTGTGTGCATTTTCTAAAATCCTATGTCGAAGTCATTTCATATTTTGGCTAATGTATCTATAGGATCTATTCCTTGAAATAGAATTGCTAGGTCAAAGGTTAAGTGTAATTGTACACTTGTACTGCTTTTAGTTATTGCTAGAGTCCCTTCCATAGGGATTGTGTCATTTTGCACCGAGAGGGACTTTTAAAAAAAGGTTTTGTAAATGCTCAAATTTCATATAAAAATTGTTGGAAAATTAGTGCATTCTTCCAAATCACATGTTATTTATTGAACCCACACTCTGTTCCCAGTATTGTCCAAGGCATGGCCTGGTACAGAGCACTCTGGTTCCTGCTTTTAGGAAACCTGTGATTTGTCCATGGAGACATGATTTGTGAATGAAAAACAAATGGTACTCTAAGATACACATAGTATAAAAACAAAGGGAAAAATCCCAGCTCAAGCCCCTGTCTTTCAGAGGACTTGCCTGCTTGCCCCAGGCCTCATGAGTCCTCAATCCTCTGAATTTCATTATTACTTTAAGTGACAGTGACCTTTTTCCCAGAGCAAAACTTTTGACACTTAGTTGAACAAATATGAATATACAAACAGGATCAACAGAGCTTAATGTTTGAAATACAGGTTGTGGCATAAATTCAAGCTGAATACATTTTTTATGTAGAGTTACATCTGCACTTCGCAAAGCATCAGTGAAGTTTTACTAACAGTTCTGTGGCCAAACAGTGCAGAAATGTTAGGCTAAACAAACCTAATCAAACAGCCCCACAACCATGTTTGATGTCCCAACCTTACCTGGGCACAGAACCCCCCTCTCCATGGAGCACCTCATGTTAATACTGTTGCACAGGACACAGAAGAACCAATATGTAGTTTCTGTTTGAATGAAAGCCAGAGGCTTCTCTTCTAGTTGTTTAACTTGTACAGTTCTGCATCTTTGATTAACAATGTCCAATTTGTTTCTTTCTAGATTGAATCACTAAAGAAGAAGGTGCAGCAGAAACAACTCTTAATATTGCAGCTTTTAGAAAAGATATCTTTCTTAGAAGGAGAGGTAAGAAGCTATGTTTCTTCATGCTGGTGTCTTTCCTACCATTAAATTTTATGTTGCTGAGCCTACTGCCGACACTTAATTAAAAATATGGCTATTTCCTGGCCTTATAAAATTGATTGAAGGTTAACTGCCAACATTGAAAATGAGCTTCTGACAGCTAGTTTTTCTTTACCATCTGACTCTCCTCATCCCCCCTTGCTACCCACCTCTGCCTTTTGGCTCCCATTTTTCTTATTCAGGAATTTTCTTAGCAAGTTGGTTAGGCTCCTGATGAATACTGATAACTCCCCACATCTGTGTTGTGCTTTATAATTTGCCAAGTATTTTCGCATACATCTCCCACATGATTTTCTCAACAACTTTAAGAAAGGCAGGATGAGGTTTATTCTCTCAATAATAACAATAAAAAGGCACAGGGAAGGCGGGTGGCTTTTCTCAAGGTTACACAGCTCAGTGCCAGATCCAGGCTGAGACAGACTCCTCACCCAGTGCTCTTCTGTGGCATCGAGTCAACACGCTTTAGAGCGGACTTGTTGTTTAATCACTAAGTCATGTGCTACTCTTTGTGACCCCATGGACTGTGGCTCCTCTGTCCATGGGTTTGCCCAGGCAAGGATTTTGGAGTGGGTTACCATTTCCTTCTCCAGGGGATCTCCTTGACCCAGGGATCGAACCCACATCTTCGGCTTGGCAAGTAGGTTCTTTACCACTGAGCCACCAGGGAAGCCCAGAGGTGACTTAATTTCACTGAAAACTTCTATGATATTTAGTATTCATTACTTTATGGGCTTTTGAAAGGCATTTTGGGAATTTTGTGGAGGTTCCAGGGAAAGAAATTACAGAGTTGAAAGAACTTTAAGAGCTTAGGTGTTAATAGAAGTGGAAGCCTTCTGTTTTCTCTGAAGGCTTTTTATTAAGAACTTGGCATTGAGCCTCTTCATTTAAGGCTCCGTGAATCTCTCCTTGTCTGTTGTCCCCCTTATAGTCCTTCCCCAGTGAGACACAGCCCAGGAGAGAATGGTGAAGTAAAGACACAGGAAAGTAATGACGGTAATTCAGCTCCTAGTGTGTGTTGGGCGCTTTTACTTTCTGTATCTTTTGTATACCATAGAGGCTAAGAGTGGAATCAGACTCGCCTAGGATTGAACCCTACATTCTTATTAGCTGGGTGACCCTGGAAAAGTTTCTTAGAATTAGAACCTGAGGATGATAACTGCACCTACATGTGTGTCCATGTGATGGGAGTGCATAGAAAGTGGTTGGCATGCCTAAGCAATCAATCATTTTTTCTTTATTAAGAGGGATGAGTTAGATTATATTTCCTTCATTTTATAGCTAAAGAAAGTGAGGTTCAGGGATGTTAAGGAACCTGCCCAAAGTGACAATTATAAGTGAGTAAGCCTGAGCACTTAACCACCATGTTTGTAGGGGTGGCGAGCAGGGTCTTTGTTTCTCCTGTTTTGGGGGGCTGCCCATAAAGGTCATAAGCAGAAGCCCCTCATGGCCCAGAGGGACCTGAGAGCAGACTCAAAGCCTGCGGGCTCATTGTCCTGACAGCTGAGTAAGTGGACGTTCATCCTGTCCCGAGTCCAACTCTAGCTTTATGAATGGAGACTTCTGTATCAAAGACTGTCCTCTGAGATCACAGTTCCCTGTGGAGGAATCACAGCTCCACAGTGAGAGTCAGAGAGCGTGTGACCTAGTGAAAGTCATGGGTCCCCAGAGAGGTTGGTTCCAGGGAGGAGTTGCTGACAGGAGAGGCAGAGGGTTACCCAAGACTGTGCCCACCCCCTCCCGTCTACCCCGGCTGGCTGTGCTACCAAGCTGGCTCCCCTGCTGGGAAATTAGAAAATGCCCAAGTGGGGACTGTGCTTTGAGAAGAGCCTCACACATATGTGTGCTTTTGATTTGGTAAACTCATCTCTTCTCTTCATCTGGGTTGCCCAGACTCTGAGATGTAGGTGTGAGTCCACTAGTTTAGTTAGGAGGTGATCCCTGAAAGCCCCAGTGGGGAGAGGAGGAATGAGTCAGGGAAGGCATGAAGGCCTCTACTGACGACCTTACTGAAATTACCACCGGGGACGGCTGCTGCTCATTTGCCCTGGGGGTCCGGGGCAGATGGCGCGCACTGGCCTCTGAGGTATCCTTACCAGAAGCTCTGAAAGCTGGGGCATTTGTCCACGAACTCCCATCAGTAGTTGGTTGAGGCCTGCTCTGGGACGTTGTGGCAATTCTGGCCTGCCCTGGGCAGAGCCAACTGGCTTTGGTGGGCAGAGGAAGCCCCCCAAGTAAAAAGTCAGGAAGGCATGTCAGGAATCGGTGAGTATCCAGAGCATGGGAGTGGGTGGCCATGTCTGCTGTGTCTATCCAAAGAGTCATTCAGAATGGCTTGAAATCCATTTCTCCTTGAGCATTTAAACACCGGTTATAGATTTGGTTGATTAAATTTCCCTAAACTATTTAAATTCTACTACAAACTTAGAATGGCTAATTCCTTTTGATCATCCATCTTAAATAACAGATAAAACATATACAACATGTCAAGATTTAATAATACATTTACACTTTAACGTATTCTAAAATATTAAGTATCTTGGGTTTAATTTCTATCTTCGTTGTTTGTGTTCTAGGTTTTTAAGATCTTCAAAAGGCCATTGTTTCACTTATTTCGGTGTTTCCTTAGAGTTAACCTAAATGTCATTGTGACATTTTCCAGACAGTTGCACTGATCTTTCATATCCAGAGGACAAGGAATACCTTTTCTGAGCAGCAAAGCCTACAGGATGCTGACTCTTGGAGGGATACATTCTTGCTTTATGGTATAGGACTAGGTGACTTCAAGGTGATTCAAACTCAGGACCCCTTATGGTTGGGGTGTGCTGACCTATCTTTAGTACTATTAAAAATGTGTACATTCCTTATTAACACTTTACCATTCTTTGTTGGACTAGGTAGAGACTTCACCTGTTAGGAGATGAGTTTGAGCTCTTGGTTTTCCTCTTCAGGTTGTGTGAGCAGTTGATGATGTTTCAAACACACTGCTGACTGTCATCTCCTTGTTAATTGTGTGTGATCACGATGCCAGTGCATCTCTGCCTCTCTTTCCACCTGCTTGTTGTATGACCACCAATGCCAAGCAGTCCCTCCAAGGGCCCTCAAGTCCTGCGTGATCTGACTTACGGTTCCTTTTGTTATTTTTTCCTACTCACCACAGAAATCACGGAAGACAGACATGTAATTAACACTCTGTAAAAGAAACTACATGGCCTTATATATGAGTGCTTTTCAGTTTTAAAGATCAATAACAAATGATAACATATCTTATTATTGTCATCTTTCTTTGCTCTGAAAACTTCCTTTCTCTACACTTTATATTAACTTTCCTTTTGTAGGACATCATGAAGACAAGGCATTTCTCAGACTCACGTTGCTTCCACGGTGATTTTCCCTTAAGTTTTGAAGCTCAGAGTATCACAGCTCATCTGGGGAGAGAGTTCTACAGTCCCTTCCTCTCCCATGTAGCAGAGTTCCTGATGCCTGTGGAATTATTCTTGCTGTTTGGCAACAGGCATTTCAGACCTGTTCCCATTGTTGTCCAATCCCAAGATATGATATGATACTGGCCTGTTTCCAAGGAGCCCTGGTTTTAGTGGAGAACTATACTGCTGACTACCTGGGCATGAGCCCTGGTAGTGGGATAAACTGCTGAAAACTTATGTTAGGCCCATTTTATTTGTTTTGTTAATTCATTTTTTATTGAAGTATAGTTGAATTACAGTGTTGTGTTAATTACTGCTCTATAGCAAAGCTGTTGTTGTTGTTCAGTCCCTCAGTCGTATCTGACTCTTTGCAACACCATGAACTGACACGCCAGGCTTCCCTGTCCTTCACTATCTCCTGGGGCTTGCTCAAACTCATGTCCATTGAGTCATTGATGCCATCCAACCATCTCATCCTCTGTCACCCCCTTCTCCTCCTGCCCTCAATCTTTCCCAGCATCAGGGTCTTTTCCAATGAGTCGGCTCTTTGCATCAGGTGGCTAAAGTATTGGAGCTTCAGCTTCAGCATCAGTCCTTCCAATAAATATTCAGGACTGATTTCCTTAGGATTGACCATTTTGATCTCTTTGCTGTCCAAGGGACTCTCCAGAGTCTTCTCCACCACAGTTCGAAAGCATCAGTTCATCGGCGCTCAGCCTTCCTTATGGTCCAGCTCTCACATCTGTACATGACTACTGGAAAAAACCATTGCTTTGGCTAGACAGACCTTTGTCAGCAAAGTGATGTCTCTGGTTTTTTAATACACTGTCTAGGTTTATGATAGCTTTTCTTGCAAGGAGCACGTGTATTTTAATTTCATGGCTGCAGTCACCATCCGCCGTGATTTTGGAGCTCAGGAAAATAAAGTCTCTCACTGTTTCTGTTGTTTNTCTCTTTGGTGTTAGTTCTAGAAGGTCTTGTAGGTCTTTACAGAACCATTCAATTTCTTCTTCATCTTCTTCTATGGGGCATATACTTGGATTACTGTGATGTTGAATGATTTGCCTTGGAAACAAACCGAAATCATTCTATCATTTTTGAGACTGCACCCAAGTACTGAATTTTGGACGATTTTGTAGACTATGAGAACTACTCCATTTCTTCTAAGAGATTCTTTCCCACAGTAGTAGTAAATACTAGTAGATACTAGTAGATAATATGTTTATCTGAATTAAATTCACCTATTCCTGTCCATTTTATTTCACTGATTTCTAAAATGTTGATGATTCTTTCCCACAGTAGTAGTAGATAATAGTAAATACTAGTAGATAATATGGTTTTCTGAATTAAATTCACCCATTCCTGTCCATTTTATTTCACTGATTTCTAAAATGTTGATGTTCACTTTTGCCATCTCCTATTTGACCACTTCCAATTTACATTGATTCATGGACCTAACATTCCAGATTCCTATGCAATATTGTTCTTTACAGCATTGGACTTTACTTTGACCACCAGGCA